TTATCCTATGCTCCTCCCAATCTCCCATGTCAGACCTGCTTTATAACAGTGGTGCTATGCAGTATTTGTCCTTTTATGACTGAGATATTTCACTCAGCAAAATGTCCTCCAGGGTCACCCATTAAAAATCACTCTTAAAAGTTCTTTATACTTATCAGGGTCAGAATTAACAGACATTAATGGCAAAACGGGGCATTTAAAAAAATTGTAATAAACTAACAACTATATGGATTGGAGCAACAAATGCAAATAAAGATAAAAGAGAAATCTGCAGAAACATGATTATTGATTGATAGATAGGAAACCTTCAAATGATATTTCAGGGTCTGTGATTTTTACCTTTGAAGTGAAATATTTGATGTCCCAGTGATTTATGTTTCTGCCTTAAAATTTAAAAAAATAAAAAGATGCTAACTTAATATCTCGGGAGCTCTGGTGGCCTAGTGCGTAAGGAGTTGCACTGTCAACTCAAAGGCAAGTGGTCCAAATTAATCAACTGCCCCTCTGTGGCAAAATGGGCAAATCATCCATCTCTCATACAATTTAGTCTCTGAAAACCGGCTAGTTAGCTATGAATTGGTTCTGTCTCAACAGCATTGAATATGAGTGGTGATTTAGAAAGAGGGAGAAAGTTGTGTGATTTACAAAAGCTTAATTGGTAGGTGATGGGGCAAATTCTCCCAAGAAGTGCGCCGCGTCCCACCCCTCGCTAAGTACCAGTACTTTTTTGAATCAGAAAAATTCTTGACTGGTTACAGCGTTGTTTTTGTTTGCCTTTTCTGCTCTCTTTTCATTTTAGTTTAAAAGACACCCCAAGGGGCCTGAGCGTTTCCTGAGATTTGTGATGACACTAGAACACATCAGTCTGGAAAACTCATCTTTTGTAGAAACTTTCCCGCTTTTGTAAATGGATAGCTATTCCCCTTTTCTAGGAAATGGCAGATTCCGTAGCTACAATGTTTTGTTGGTTCAATAAAGCTTTTTTAAAATTTTTTAAATTATTTTTTCTTTCTTTTTTTTTTTTTCAGAGGTTTTGGATTTCCATTCATTCATTGCCGCAATTTT